GTTACCAATAGGCTTCTGGGTGAAGTTCAAAATGCTGATTATCACCTAAACCCCCTTTATAGCATAGGGCTGATTATTTGAGGATCCAAATCTTCTGTAGCTTCTACCACCCTACATAATAGGGCAGAATCAGTATATTTTTGGGTGCCATTTGTGCCTCAACATTTGAATTTTACTGCTTTATTTTGACTGTACAATCTCAAAGTGCTATGGAGGATATATATACATGGCCTCAGGTCCTCATCCCTTCATTAAACCCTAAAGCAGGGTTAATGTAATTCTATTGTTTAATTACGCAACATACTATGCTTGAATTATTGGCTTTATTTATTTAAACATTTATATAGTCAGCCATCCTACACCAAACTCTGGACTGCTCCCAAGCTTTTAAAGTATTTGGCCTAATTATGCCTTTTCCCAATAGTGAATAATGTCATTACTTCTAAAAAACAAAATACATCCGAACTGCTGTTTTACATAAGCCTCTTGGAAGTGGCAGTCCCAAACTAGATCCTTGACTCAAAAATTACAAATTACAAATTTTTCCATTGCCCCGGATATGCCCAAATTATCCCCATGAGTATAATTACTCACAATTTAAGAACACTGCAGTAAACTGCATTATGGTTTAATGTTAATTATCTGGTTCACAAATCACACAATCAATAGATTATTGCAACCTGCTGAACCCAATTTATCCAAAACCCTCCCCCATCCTTAGCCTAATCTAGCTTGTTGCATATAAACTATGCTAAAAATATAAACTTAGGCTTAATATAGTGACCAGGTTTGTATAATCATTAAACTAAAATTAAGCTATCATGCATTATAATATTTGAACTGTGCATCTTTAGGGAATTAAAAGCAGTATTTTCAGATCATAGCCCTCCTATCATGGGAAGTGGGTTAAAGAAATCTTATCCTCCCTCTGCTTTTCAGTGTCAAAGGTTCAGTCTAGGACATGAAGGAAATGAAAAGAAGCCCAGGATTCAGAGGAAGGCTACTGAATAAAAACTGCTCTGAATATTCTGGAATTAATAACAAAATAGACTCTGTTGTTTACAAAGCCATTTGATTAGTTTTTGGAAATAGTCATTACAAATATTCATTTCAAAACAGTTTTGTCATATCCAAACAAAAAGAAAGGACACCGGGAGGAAAAAAGCAGTGCCAAGTTAGACATGCCTGTATAAATAATGATAACATGGAAACTTTCATTTTGGGGGTGGAAGGAAAATATTTTACCCTTAGAAGAAAAGAGAAATATAATTTTGAGTGCCTCAAAAGTGCCTCAGAAATTCTGAAGACTGAGCTCAATAGTACAATTTGTAAATGAGTTTTGCCAAAGTCACTTAAGCAGAGCTAGTCAATTCAAAGCAACAGTGGACGGCCATTTTGAATGTTTTCCTCAGCCCCTCTGGCATGCAAAAAACACAGTAAGTGACACAATTATATAACTGAAGTTTGTGTTTTGTTTCTGGATAGGTTTAAAAGACAAACTAAGCCCATCAAACCCCATAGGGCAGGGGTCCCCAACCACCGGGCCCCGGACCGGTACCAGTCCATGGATCATTTTCTACTGGGCCGCCGGTTTGATGGGCACCGCCATCTTGTTTTGACGAGAAAGTGCTTCCAGGTGAGCTTTTCCGGTTGGAAAGCAGCGTTTGGGTCCTGAAGGAATCCTCGCGCCTTAGTTTCATCGAAGGGGGGGCGGCTTCGAACGAAGAGCTGTCCCGATGGCGGAGGAGATTAAGAAAGCACAAAAAAGCACAAAAAAGGTACAAAGGAGGAGTTGAAGGTGGCGGGGAGAAGTGGGGGACAGCTGGCTGGCCGGTCGCTCGGCTCGCCTTGCCTTGTCATGCGTGCCAATGCCGGTACCAGGCCGCGGATCATTTTGTGATGCTGGTACCGGGCCATGGCACAAAAAAGTTGGGGGCTACTGCCATAGGGAATAACCCTAGTCTGCATGTTATTTAAGGAAAAATGCAAAATCCGTGCCTCACTGAGGATCAAAGGTTTGGTCACCAAATATTGTTCTGCGCTTATTCTAAGTATTGAAAAATGGAGGTTGCATGGGATAATAGGCCATTCCTGCTATAAAGCCAAACAGTGTAAAAGCATCAGGCACTGAAGAAAGGGTTGAATAGACTACAGGTAGTTCTTGACTTACAACCATTCATTTAATGACCATTCAAAGTTACAATTGCATTGAAAAAAGTGACATACGATTGTTTTTAAGACTTACAACCTTTGCGGCATCCCCACATGATCAAAATTTGGGTGCTCGGCAACGTATTTATGAGAGTTGCTATGTCCTGGGTTCATGTAATCACCATTTGTAACCTTCCTAGTTGGCTTCTGATGGGCAAAGTCCACGAGGAAGCTAAATCCACTTCATGACAGCATGATTCACATAACAACCTCAGTGATTCACTTAACAATCAGGGCAAAAAAGTTCCTAAAATGGTGTTCTGATTTGGTAGTAAGTCAAGGACTACCTGTATATAACAAAGAGGATTCTTTAAACCAGAGGTCTCCAAACTTGGCAACTTTTAAAACTTGTGGACTTCAACTCCCAGAATTCTCCAGCCAGCTATGCTGGCTGGTGAATTCTGGGAGTTGAAGTTCACAAGTCTTAAAGTTGCCAAGTTTGGGGACCCCTGCTTTAAGCCCTCCTGTTTATCAGCAGATCAGATGTATGTGGCTATTTAGACTTTAGTTCACACATCACGTAGTTATGATTTCATTTAACTATGCTTTGCTTACAAGAGCCAGGATGGAGCAGTGGTTATAATGCAGTAGAGATAGTCCTCGACTTACAACAATTCATTTGGTGACCGTTCAACGTTACAATGGCACTAAAAAAGAGTGACTTGTGACCATTTTCCCACACTTACGAATGTTGCAGCATCCCGATGGTCATGTGATCAAAATTGAAATGCTTGGCAACTGGTTCATATTTATGACCTTTTGCTATGTCCCAGGGTCATGTGATCAACTTTTGCGACTGTCAACTAAAAAGATACTCCTTTGGTCTTTTTAGCTGCCAGAAAAAGGGAGTGTGGGAAAACAAGGCATTCTTGAAATGCCTAGATAATCACCTTGGCAGCCTAAAGTTGTTGGAGAGTAAGAAGGTTTTTGGAGAGCATGATGGATGACTCTTGAAGATGGATGTGTCCCATTGGAGAAGTCACATCCAGGGGGTGGGGGAAAGACCAGGGTCAAGGCGGAAATGTATGATGTGATTTAGTATCGGCTGTACCCAGCCATGCGCCAACATGGCAACTTTTAATAAATTAATTTTTTTTTCTCTGAGATGTGGCTAGAGACTTTTGATTTGAATGAGGGTGGATTTGTTGGAGCCCGGACAGCGTCTTTCTGACAAGCAAAGCCAATGGGAAAGCCAGATTCATTTTAACAACTGTCTGACTGAGTTAACAACTGCTGTGATTCACTGTACCACTCTGGCAAAAAAGCTTGTAAAATGAGGCAAAACAAATGTCTCAAATTAGCAACATAAATTTTGGGCTCAATTGCAATTGTAAGTCAAGGACTCCCGCTACTGTAGGGCTAACTCACGGCTCATTGCCAGAGATTTTGATCAGCCTTCCCTCCTTCTGAGGTGGGCAAAACGAGGAACCAGATTGTTGGGGGCAATAGGCTGACTTTGTAAACCGCGTAGAGAGGGCTGGAAAGCACTGTGAAGCAGTATATAAGCTAAGTGCTATTGTTGCTGTTGCCTACTAGTCAAAACTGGTTGGTTCAATGAAATAGGTTAAGCAAACAATGACTGGCTCGCACTACATGCTCAGCCAGGACTGATAGCCTTTTTCCAGCTAAGAGCTATGATTGGCCTTTTGAATGATCTGTCAGGGATTGCACTCCAAAAAGGTACAGGTAGTCCTCAACCTACAGCAGTTCATTTAGTGACCGTTCAAAGTTACAATGGCACTGAAAAAGTGACTTAAGAACATTTTTCACGCTTATGACCTTTGCAACATTCCCACAATCACATGATTAATATTCAGATGTTTGGCAAACTAACATTTATGATGGTTGCGGTGTCCCAGGGTCATGGGTTTCCCCTTCTGTGACCTTTGGACAAGCAAAGTCAATGGGGGAGCCAGATTCATTTAAAAACAGTGTTACTAACTTAACAATTGCAGTGATTCACTGAACAACTGCAGCAAGCAAAGCTGTAAAACGGGGCAAAACTTTTTTAAAAAAAATTAATAAAGGTATCAAAAGCAGTAATCAGTATTTGAAACATCATGCCCATGGCTTCTTCAAATCAGAAAAAGTGAGTGACGTGGGAAAACAGCTAGAAAATTCAAGCATTTTAAACAAAGATTTGTAATTTGGTAGCAATTTTCCTGAAACAAAGGTGTTTTGCTCATAGTTTCTACTTTCTATTATGTGGAAGTGCACACACATGCACTACACACAACAATAGCTCTGAATTGTATAGTTTCTCTGGAAAAATGATTCTGAAATACACAAGGGTTCTATAGAGATTATTCTGGTTCATGAGGTCAGTGTCTCTGCAATTAACCGTACACATTATATACTTAACTCAGAAATTGTCATTTTGTGGTCCTTCACACATATGATAATGAGATATAACTCCTGATCAGAAAGCTTAATAGTGTGACAAGCTGAGGTTGAATTTCAGAGATACCTATCTGGAAAAATTAAAAAAAAATCTGGAAATCCAGGACAGTAACATCCCACCCCACCCCAAATGAATGGAGCTATTTTGAGACATACTATAGATTGGGGAAAAAAATATTTTGCAATTGCAATTAGACAATTGTTTTATGAGTACCCTAAACTAGGGGAAAATAAAACAGGAGGGAAATAATCTCTTGGTGGTTTGTTGATGAAATGTAGTCGCAGAACTTCTGAACTGCAAACCAAGGGGTTGGGAGTTGAATAGAACAGTAAATTTAGCCTTATCCATGTCCAGATATATAATGATACCAATGAAACTTGTCTCCTACCTGTCCAAAGCAGTGCTGGTAGGCATACTCCTACCAAACCCTCGCAGAGCCATCTGATGAAAATACGGAATGCAATGGAGATTTGCTGCAATAATGGCCAGGGAATCAGAAGGGTTAACAAAAAATCCATTTTGACCCAGAATCATGTAACGATCCTGAAAGAGAAAATAAAATATCATATTGGGTAGGAAAAGAGGAAATGAATAAGTAAAGAAGAACTTCTGCAGTGTTTGTGCAAAAATAGCCGGATTCTCCCTTTTTTCAATTTGCAGTCTAGCAACAGAGAGACCCAAAATTGTTATCTGGCTTAGTCTGTTTCATACGGTAGTACTCAGCTAAACCCCACAGAGATCTAAACCCTACGGAGAAGTTTAATTTGGTTGAATAAATTATGGGGGAAAATAGTTTTTGACTCCAAAGTTTCATATTATTTTTTCCTGGAAACATACTCTCTTGAAGAATAGTAATGTTTTCCCCTTACATTAAGCTTGATCAAAAAGGAAGGAAGGAAAAGGAAGGAAGGAAGGAAGGAAGGAAGGAAGGAAGGAAGGAAGGAAGGAAGGAAGGAAGGAAGGAAGGAAGGAAGATAGAAGGAGGAAGGAGATATCTTTTATCTATACTCCTTCATTAGGAACTGCAAAATCAATTTTGAACTTTTAATTCTTATTTGTATTTTATAACGAAGTATGTTATCAACGGTTTTCTTTAATTGAACTTTGAAGATTTCCAATAATTATGCTCTATAAATCTTTCACTACTAGGCAGGAATTTTTCTCCAACAATCTTTTCAGCAAAGGAAGGATAAGCAACCATAAGTTAGAATGAGATAAAGAATTGAATTTAACTGGAAATATCAAGTCCAGTATTACATTTCCTAAAATGGTCACACAATACTTGGTACACAGTTCTTCATGCCCTAAACAAAGGAGTTAAAAATGTGCTTCCAAAATATCATTTACACTGGTTTCTTCATCTGTTGCTTACTGATTAAATCAGAAAAAAACACGATTGTTTTACAAAAAACTGGAGATTATTTTGGTAGTAACTATGAATAATGCAAAATGAAAAAAAACAAAAGTTGAGGTGGGGTGGAGGTCCCATGGCTAGGTTCAGCTGCATACACAATTTGTTTACGTGACACTTAGAATAGAATAGAATAACAGAGTTGAAGGGACCTTGAAGGCCTTCTAGTCCAACCCCCTGCCCAAGCAGGAAAGGCTATCTACCATTTCACACAAATGGTTGTCCAATCTCTTCTTTAAAACTTCCAGTGTTGGAGCATTCACAACTTCTGGAGGCAAGTTGTTCCACTGGTCAATTATTCTAACTGTCAGGAAATTACTTCTTAGTTCTAAGTTGCTTCTCTCCTTGATTAGTAACCACCCAATGATTCTTGTCCTGCCCTCAGGTGCTTTGGAAAATAGCTGGACTCCCTCTTCTTTGTGGCAACCCCTGAGATATCGGAACACTGATATCATTTCATTGCTTCCAACAAGGAACTTCAATCAGTTTTCCAATTCTAACTGCTAAGCATTTCTAATATCAAAGAAGTTATTGGAAATGCCAAGCATTTCTAATAACTGCCAAGCATTTCTAATATCAAAGAGATGCATGCATCTGTCTGGAAAATCCATGAGATACATTATGAACTTAAAATGTATTTTCTAATACATGTTCTGAACTTGAAAAATCTACAGTTGATCCTGAACTAAATGATATATTTTGGAACTCTAAACATTTTAGCCCTGAACAATGTTGAACCACTGAATCGTTCATAACAGTGAGGGAATTTTGAAGGGCATAACTGATAAACTAAACTGTTAATTTCTTCTGTGCTTAAATAAAAGCCTAATAACTATGTGAAAGATAGAAATCCTCTGAAAGTTGTTAGGTCACTTTCAGCTATGAAGTTAGTTTCCCCAAACCTACCCCATCAGCATCAAATGCAGCTCCAAATCCATACTCTCCTCCTTTCATTGCTTCCAACAAGGAAGTGGCATATGTAAGGTTTGGATCAGGGTACTGGCCACCAAAATCTTCCAGAGGGACACAGTCAACTGCAGAATTAGCAGGAGCTCCCAATTCCTCACACAGGATTCTCCGGACATAGGGGCCCATCACTGCAAAAGGGATTTGCCTTCAATTTAAAGACCATTTTCAAATAAATATTCAGAATGAAATCCTTCATGCATTTTTTTAACAAAATTGAATCAGTTTGCATTAAGCAGGGTCCCAAGAGGCAACTGGACTTTCTTGTTTTTCTTTGAAGATGTTTCACTTCTCATCCAAGAAACCAGAAAGTCCAGTTGCCACTTGAAAAAGCATCTTTGGGACAACTATGACCTGGATGACTGAGAATCGCCATATATATTAAGTAGGGTATTATATAACTCTCTATTAAACAAGGTATCCAGCAATTCTCTGCCAAAAATGCCTCTGTACTTATATGCATATTTGGTCATCTGCATGTGACTGAGGTAATCTCCTTTTTAAAAAATGAAGGCTATGAAATATCCTTTGATTACCAAATAATTTAGGGAATAAATTACAGTAAAAACAATAGTAAAGCCAAACTATAATAAATAAATCAATGAAAATAGAAGAGGGCCAGCATTAAGCACATGGAATAGGCAACTCTTTATTTTTTATTTTTGTTTTACAACTATTGCAGAAGGAATGCAGTAATTTCACTAGGCGTTTGATTCAGTTTTAGGGAAGTGAAATAAATATCCAATGTTTCAGTTATTTATTGCACTTATTTTGTTCTTTATGTTGCTATAGAAGTACAGGTAGGCATCAACTTCCAATCGTTCATTTAGTGACTGTTCACAGTTACAACGGCACTGAAAAAAGTGACTTATGACTAGTTTTCACACTTACAATTGTTGCAGCATGGTCAAAATTTGAGTACTTGGCACCTATTTATTTATGACAGTTGCAATATCCTGGGGTCAGGTGATCATCACCTGTAACTTTCCCCGCTGGGTTCCGACAAGCTAAGTCAATGGAGAAAGCCAGTTTCATTTAATGACATCAAGATTCATTTAGCAACTGCAGTGGTTTGCTTAATCATGGCAAAAAGGTTGTAAAATGGGGCAAAAGTCCTGCCTTGCTTAGCAACTGCCTTGCTTAGCAAAAGAAATTTTGGACTCAGTTGTGGTTACAAGTTGAGAATCACCTGTAGAATATCTAAATTAGCAGTTTATCCACCTTTTCAGTCACAGTTTGGTGACCTATTATGGCCTATCCCACCCAGTTCAGCTGCTTATATAATTTGTACAATAGAAAGCCTGTATCAAAACCAAACATATTAGCGTGGTGATTAATTTAAAAGCAGATTGATTCTGGATTAATTTGTGCTCTGGAAATTCCCAAGTGAAATTTTTATAAAAGTAGTGAGAACACTGGGCAGCAATATATACCATCTGGTATATATTATTAAATAACAAACTTTATTTGGGAAAAAACCTATGAGAGTACTTAAGAAATAGCTGTATAATACCAGATATAAGGTCAAATATTCTACTAGTGGACATTTTATAACAGTAGTCACAATGACAGAGCTTTATGTTTGAGCAGTAGAAAAAATGGCCTCAGGAAATGAAACTGATTTTTTAAAAAAGAATGTTGTTCTACTTAAACACCAACATGAAACATAATTAAAGGAAGAGACAGATTTTCTTCCACTTCTGCAAAGAATTTTGTGGCTCTTTGAAAATATCTCCTTAGCAATTGTTGAGGGAAATAGCTGGTATGAGGTCATATATCTAAACTCAATTATAGTATCTGTGTTTTTGTGGGCAGAGAAAAAAATTGAATAGCATTTTTAAAAAATACAAATGGAAAACAGGCAGCGGGTGAAATGTGATATCATGGCGTATAAGAACGTAAAAGAAGGATGTTTTATTTGTGGTATAAACATTCTTGACATATTTAACTTTTCTCAAGATGACAGTAACTATTTTAAAACCTATTATTGAAAGTTTTAATAGAGTAAACTGAAGAAACCAGTTTGTGGGCAAAAATGTATACACTTAAAAATATAATCATGTATTTTTTAATCTGTTACCTTTGTCCCAGTTATTTTTGTCACATTTGAATAATTTCGGTTTCTACGAATTCTTCAACATATAATCCATTAAATGCATTTGTCATACCAAGTAACCTATATCACTGTTAAGAATAAATTATCTTAGCACAGAAGCAGCAATGTGTATGTGGAGTTGCTGAAAATAATTTGTATCTTAAGGGCTAAGGAGCTAGATTTCTATATATATATAGTTGGTGTTCTTTCAATTTAAAAAGAACAAAGCTATAAATACTTTTCATGAGTTAACTGAAACAACAAGTGTCCTGGACATTCAAGAATTGCTTTTTCCCAGAGACAACTAATATTTTGGTTTTCAGCTGAAGAAAGGGGTTTTCATCTTTACTCTCATCTCCAAAATTAAGTCAGTAGGAAATTTAAGGCATCTCTCTGACTCTGCCCCACTCTCATCATATACATAGCTCCCTTACGAGCATGAAATATGGAAGATATTTTGAATATTATACATAACAGCAAAATCATGTGCATGTCTCTGCATTCATTAAGGATTATCTAGCCTATTATTACTATCAATAGTAATTAATTACTGAGTTTTAAATCTTATTTTCAGCATTTTAAAAATCAGTGGTTTACATACTGCATTAAAAATGGTGCTCTTTACCTCCATTCATGGCATCAATTCTTATCTTAAGTTGATTTGGCCCAGTTAGCAAGCCTCTAATAGAACTGAAATCAAAAATGGTCCTCAGAAGATTAAGATAAACCTCCACAGAGTCCACTATCTCAACTGTGCACAAAAGATCAAACAAAGAAGTTAGGTCAGGATACTGTGCTTAGGCATAAGTACACACCAAATGAAAATTATTACTGCAAAAACTTTTATCATCGAGTAAGTGAAAATCTACAACATAAAACGCTTTGGGAATTAACCTTTATCAAAGATCACCATTCAATTTGGCAATTCAATGTCCATAGTAGAAATCTTGCTAGGGTTGCCTGAACTATTCAAATAGGCAAAGTTGCTTAACACTTCAGCAACAGAATTGGCAGAAGTATATTCTGTTCATGTACATGTAACATGCATGTTCAGGCAACCTAGTAAGGTCCTTGGGACTGTTTCACTTTCAAGAAGATAGGCCTCAATGCTTTACTGTCCCTCAGAGTATTACTTTAAGGATTTTGTTTTTTTACTTAAAGAGTTACTTCACAAAATGTCCCACTGAATGTTTTTGGCCAGCCACAATTTCTATCTGATCCTATCAACTCTGAATATTTGACTATTGTTACCTTTTTGGATATTCTATGAATAAGCAAGAGAATAGCTTAAGACATGCTTTCTTTCTTTCTTTCTTTCTTTCTTTCTTTCTTTCTTTCTTTCTT